AGGAACTATTCGAGCCGTTCATGCCAGACTGAGGAGAGAGGTGTTGTAATAATGTAAAATATGTGAAAAAGAATGTGTTTTTCGAACAACCTAGTATGAGAGCCTGTTCTAGTACACCCCCAAAACAAAATCAAGACTTTGTAAAAGAGCATAATAGGACCCCTTTAAATTAAAACAATTACACTAAACAAAAATAAAACAACTAAAAAATTTAAATTGAACAAATACAATTTAAATGAAAACTGAAAATTGAAAAATTAAAGCTAATTTACAACATTAATAAAAAATATAATGTTACATACTAAATAACACTGATAGTTAATAGCATATTTCTACAATTACATCTGTAACCAAAATTTTTACTTTTTCATGATGCTGCATTTTTTCCACTTGGTGTCATTATAAGTCCATGCTGAATGCACGTTTAAAGAAAATATAAGAATCCCAAAACAGAGAAAATATATTTGCAAAAGCAAAAGTTCACCTGCTTTCTTCGCCTTCCAGGAGCTTCCTGTAGGTGGCGATCTCAATATCCAGGGCCATTTTAACATTCAGCAGATCCTGGTATTCACGTAGATGGCGCGCCATCTCATCCTTCATGTTGCGGATGTCGTCCTCTAGATGACCGATGGAGTCCTGGTACCCGGATGCCTCGATGGAAAAGTTATCTTCCATCTCTCTCATCTGACGCTCCAGGGACTCATTCTGAAATGATGGATCCGATCATTTGTAATTCAAGCAGCCATAATATAAAGCACTTTAATAAATGCTAATCAGGGTTATTAAAGTTAATTAAAACCAATAAATAATAATAAAATAAATATGTTACTTGTAATAAAATCTCTGAAATAAAAAATAAAATATTAAAATAAATTACATTTAATTTTAAATATTAAACATTTTAGTACATCACATTTAACTTGATGCACTAAAATAACTAAAACTACAACTGAAATAAAAATAAAAACTATATAGACATATTTAAAAAAAATACTAAAATTAAATGTGAATAAAAAAATGTAATAAAACTATAATTTAAAAACTATAATAGTATTGCAATGATACAATAAAAGAACACTGAAGCTAATATAATTTTCTCCAGTACTTACAGTTCCTTTAAGACCCTCTAAGTCGCAGGTGAGAGATTGAAGCTGCCGGCGATAGTCATTGGCCTCCTGCTTGGCCAGACGGATCCCTTCGTTGTTACGGGCAGCAGCTTCTGACAGGTCAGCAAACTACAAAAAAAGAGAAAGTGCAAGATAAAGAGAAAGCGCCATCTGCCTCTCTGGCTTTTGTTTTCTGTTGACTGTGCTAGTTTCATGTTTGAAGATCTAGGCTAATAGATCAATCGGTCCATTAGGATGATCAATACCATGACAGAGGAGCAGATGGTCTCTAAATCCACACAAACCTCTCTGTCGACCATCTGCCACGTCTTAAGGAGTTGATTCCTCAAACATCTCCCAATCACAACACACACTGGCCCAGCTAACCAATCACAACACACACTGGCCCAGCTAACCAATCACAGAGCATTTCGTATTTCAGAAAGCGGGCCTTCATTTGATACGGGAACTATTTGAGCCATTCATGCCAGACTGGGGAGAGAGATGTTGTAATAATGTAAAATATGTGAAAAATAAATGTGTTTTCTGTTCTAGTACACCCCAAAACAAAATCAAGACTTTGTAAAAGAGCATAATAGGACCCCTTTAATAAAATTATAACTTATCAAAGAAATTTTATGATAATTTCACAAATGAAAAACAATTATTTTTGATTGCACTGCATATTCAACAGTTTAATAACTGAATTTGACAGTCCTTCTAAAGAAGTATCAATTTTACAAACCAATCTCCTACTTAACGGCAAATTATAATACAGTTCTGGTTCACTAATTTGACTGACAACTATTTACTCAAACCGTATTGGAATTTACTTCCCTATTTGTATCACTCCAATTGTTTGTGCTCACTAAATATAATTACAATTCTATGGTTTACAACATACTTTCATTGGCAGAGCAAAAATAAGCAAAAAACTTACTGCCCTGTGTCCCGATATTAATTTTTAGTTTACAGAACTGTTCTCTAACAGCAATACAACACATGCAAATGTTCTGTAACAGTGCTGCTACTGCTAATCAGTCCTTATATTGATGTTCAAAACACCTTGCTTTTAGAATTGAATCAGCAATGTGCTTCTCATTTTAGAGGAACATGCACATTGCTATGTTGATGTCTTGGATCCCAGTAGTTGTACACTCTTTAACAGTGGTAAAGGATAATAGCCTTAAACTAAACAAACATTCAAGCTAGATTAAAGAAAGAACTGGGTGGGATCAATGCTTCATGCTTATCTGCCACCGAAAAGGAAGGAGATGGCTTTAATACAGGTGACTGCAATGCAAAACTTTACACAAAAAACCCCTACAGATAATATTAATGATCGTAAAACATTATTTTGCATGCGTGAGTAGCAGAAATAATGTCTGTGCACCAAAAACACACAACCCCATAAAAATCAGGCATGCAGCCATATACCCAGAGGCACACATACACACGCTAGGTGTCTAAGATATCAGGATACATGCTAAGTAGATCCTGTTCTAGGTCTTGGCCTCCACCCTTCACTAGGATGTAACGCTTTGGGTTGGGCTCTTCTACTGCAGGATGTGTCAGCACATCAGAGAAACAGCTAACCTGGCATTAACTCCGAAAAAGACAAACACACGCAACACAGAGGTCATGCTATGAAGGATCGAACCTCATCGGCGGCCTTTACAATGCACGTCGCTGTTTGAGAGTGAGTGACTGAAGCTCATATGATGATCGGTGAAGCTCTCCAACATACATACATAGATTAGACCATACAGATGGAGACTAGACAGTGCCAATACAAAGCATAAAGAGGAAGCAATAACACTTTACAACAAATGAATTACAATTACACTATTACAATTATTATATATGCAAAGAATATGAAGTGTCCTTCTTCATATATATATATGCTATACACCATTGTTCAAAAGTTTGGGGTCAATAAGATTTTTTAACGTTTTTGAAAAAAAAGTCTCTTATATTCACCAAGCATGCATTATTTGATCAAAAAAATACAAACCCGATTAGACACTGCCACTCTGAGAGGCTCTTTTTATACCCAATCATGTTGCCAATTGACCTAATAAGTTGCCAATTGGTCCTCCAGCTGTCCCTTATATGTAAATTTAACTTTTCCGGTTCTTCAGTGTCACATGATCTTTCAGAAATCATTCTAATATGCTAATTTGGTTCTTAAGAAACATTTCCTAATACTCTATCATTATTATCAATGTTAAAAACAGTTTTGGTGCTTAATATATTTTGGAAACCATGATATGTTTTTTTTCAGGAATCTTTGATGAACAGAAAGTTGAAAAGATCAGCATTTATTTAAAACAGAAAGCTTTAACATTATAAATGTATTTCCTGTTACTTTTGACCAATTGAATGCATACTTGCTGAATAAAAGTCCAAAACTTCTTACCAAAACTTCACAAACTTATAGTATACAGATGCTGAAGAAATATGGTTTTACACTAACAAGAATCAACAACAAAAATCAAGATTCTTCATACAGGGTACCATGTTAATACCATATGTCTTAGTATGTACATGGAGTACCATACAAATACATTGGTACGTGAAGATTTAGTGTCTTGATTTTATCATCTAATACCACAGGACTTTTAGTTTTAAGGGAACTGCCTGTAAAATGCAGGCTTTAATAAACCTTTATAGCTTTTTAAAAGTTGACAATCTAAATACATGTCATTGTTAGAACCCTTTGATATTTGACTGTTTTCAGAAGTCAATAAAAACTAATTGCAATCTTTAAGGTTAACATAATGAAGTAATGCCACAACATTAAGCACTTAAGACACTGTTTCTGTTTCTGAATATATGACATGATAAGGATGCCCTCTAGTGCCAATATTTAAGAATGCACTTACTCCAAAAGTGTGAATACTGTATATCAACCAAAACACAGTTACCTAATCAATAACCCAAATTTTCCAAAATTCACAAAACCAAAACCCCTCTGTCAAATACAAAGGATAGCATGCTCTTCTTACTCACCTTTGTACATATCAACCAGTGAATCCTTCAGTTCCTGTTTGTGCATCAATGACAGCTGATGCAGCTCCTCCTCACTCTCTGAG